GCGTTCGGCTCGCTCTTGCTCTTCGGCGTCACGAGCTGCACGGCGTTCGGCACGGTGGGCTTCGAGATTGGGATCGGGTGCTGCTTGGTCGTGAAGATCGATGTCGGCAGGATAAGGTTTCATTGATCGACGCTTGGCTTTATCTTTGGTTCGCGTTGGTAGGGGTTCAGCGTCTATCATTCTTTCATCTCTATAGAAGGAGTTTGGTCTGGAACGTGCTGCGAGCTCGGGTATCTTCTCTGCTTTACCGCCACCACCGAAAAAGCTGCCAAAGAAGCCGCCGGTCTTTTTGGTAGTTGTGTTTGATCGCTTGAGCGCAGGGGGGTTGTGTTCCACAAATGCCATATCATCTGGTCCACTGGTGACGAACGGTTCGCCGCCTGACGGTCCAGCTTCCACCATTACAACGTCGTCATCATTGGAAAGGGTCCTGGCTCGGGGTTTTGTAGCTTTTGACTGTTTGTAAGATACCTTTCCGTCAGCTTGTGCTACTTTGACAAACCCAGGCTCCCAGGACGGCCTAAAGAGGCTGGGAAAGATGGGAGCAGAGGTCCTTCGTACCTCTTGTTTTGACCTGGTCTTCGCTATCTTCTCTTTGGGTGGATTCTTAGAAGAAGCACCGTTGAGTAATGGATCTTCAAGTCCGTTCACCATGACCATATCATTGTCGTCGATGGGATATGGATCGGGCACAACTTGAGGAGTCTCGTCAGCAGCGATCCCCAGCTTTGGAGACGATAACATACCAGACGCTCTCTCTTTACCCTTGACCGTCTTTGTTCGCTCAAGCTTCGCGCCTTTCACGCCCATGAGCTTAGCAGCCTTGTCAGAAACCGGTGGCTGATCATCAGGCGGCGGCGACATAAGTCCACCGGCATCTACGTCCATTGACTGCCGCCGCGAAGTAGTCTTTGAGCCGCCAGTAACACTGGAACGTCGTATAGGCTTTGCCCTTGTTGCTGAGGGAGGAGCACCACCCATCATAAATGCAGAAAAGCTCATGCCACGATTAGGCTTTGACTGTTTGGCTTCAGGTCGCTTCTCCTTGGTGTCGGATCCAGATGATTTGGATGTCTTTTCCGCGTCTTTCTTGTCATCACGTTCCTTCTCCTTGGGCGTCTTTGTCGACTTGGAACGGGTAAGTCCTGGGGAAGCAGTCTTCTTTTTGGGCGAAGGCGTAATTGCTTCCTCTACAGTTGCCGGAGATTCCTTCTTGGCAGAGTCCTTCTTCGGGGTCGGAGCAGCACCCCAGAAGCCCCAGGAAGAAGCAGCTCCGGTCCGTTCGACTCGGGCGCGTTCCTTCTTGACTGGCTTCTTCTCCTCAGGTGGTGGAGTGGGTAGCTTGGGAGGTTCGGGAGGTTCAGGAGCCTCGAAAGCCTCGGGAGCCTCGAAAGCCTCGAAAGCCTCGGGAGCTTCTGCCAGAATATCTTCCATCTTCACCGTCTTGGATTTCGGGATCGGCTTTTTGTCATCCTTTGCCTTCTTGACTGGTGGTATCTCTGGCGCAGCTGGAAAGTCGTCCAGCGCCATCAGATCGTCGTCGTCACCAAATGCACCGGGGAAACTACCGGGGACAATGTCTTTTAACTTTTTTTCCTCGACTGGAGGAGAGAGTTCTTTCTTCTTGGGCTGCTTAGATGTGCTTGCCGATGCAGTCTTCGACTTGGGACTGGAATCTTTCTTCTTTGCCTCCTTTGGCGATTCTTCTACAGGCGGAGGCGGTGGCGGTGGAGATGGTAGTGTTTCTAGATCCTTGGCCAGCTGTGACCCAGCTCTCAACTTGTCCGCCTTGTCTGCCTTCTCCTCCTTCTTGTTGGCCTCGAATGCTTTGATTCTTGCCGCTACAGATGATGATGCAGTTGGTTTGCTCTTTGCAGCAGCCGGGGACATTGTTTTCGAGGGTTTGATGATGGGAGTTGGTTGGTCAGCCATGGGCTCTTCTAGGTCGTTCGGGAAGCCAGCTAGTGCATCGCTCTCATTGGTCCATCCCAAGTTGTCAATTTCCCATTTCGTCTCCGCTTCCTTTTTGCCAGTTGTCTTTTTCGAACCTCCCCAGAATCCGAAGTAGTCGTCTGACTTCTTCTCCTCCTGTTTCTCGGCTTCCTTGGCCTCCTTGGCTTCCTTGTCCTTCTTGTCATCTGCAGGCTTGGCGTCGGACTTTTTGAGTTTGAATGACGCCTTTTCCTCTTTGGGCGATGGTGCGCCCAGGATATCAACGAGGGCTGCCTCGTCTGCCTTTTTCTTCTTCTCATCCAGCTTGCCAGCTGCCTTGGGGTCAGCCTTGGATGCTTTACCTGTTATTTTGGATTTGGTAGACTTCTTGGTGTCCTTCGCGGGCTCTGCGAAGGCTGCAAGAGCAGCTGCCTCTGCTTCTTCACGGGCAGCCGCCTCTGCTTGTTCGCGGGCAGCTGCTTCAGCCTCAAGGGCAGCCGCCTCCGCTTCCATAAGGGCAGCCGCTTCAGCTTCTTCCTTCCTGACCCTTTCTTCTTCCTCCCTCTTTTCCTTTTCCTTTTCCTTTTCTTTTGCGAGCTTGGTCTTAGCGGCCGAAGTGGTGGTACCGCCAAAACTACCCCAGATGCTCTTGGCCGCCTTAGCAGGCGTCTCTTCTTTAGCAGTGTCTTTTTTCGACAGTGCTGTCTCAACCTTGGGACTTACAACAGAGTCAAGCTGCTCGTCCTTATCATCCTTGGCCTTAGCGTTATCCACTTTCGATGACTTGCCCGTCATGGTCGTCGAGCGCGAGAGAGTCCCCTTTTTGGTGCTGCTCTTTGTCTTGGTTGCGGTAAGGTCTGCCCAACCATAGTCTTCGAATTCTGGCATTGCTGCTGGACCTGGCTCAGGAGTCAATCCCTGTGCTGGAGGAGTTGGCGCCGGCGGTGGTGGCTCATCCTTAACCTTCTTGCCATTCTTCTTCTTGCCCGTTACCCCCCACGAGCCCCAGATATCGTCCTCGACAGGTGGTTCCTCGACAGGTGCGACATGTTCGACGGGTACGATAGGAACATCGACGACAGGTTCAGCTGTACCTTTTTTCTTGCTCTCCTTTTCTTTCTTTTTCTTATCCTTGGCAGAGAGACCCCATGAGCCCCAGGTAGATTCCTCTTTGGGCTCTTCAGCCTCTTCCAGAGGGGGCTCAGGGTCCGGGATAAAAGGCTCTGGGCTTGCAGACTTGCCTTTCTTGCCGCTTTTCTTGTCCTTCGTGCCAAACCCACCCCAACTGTCAGCTTCCTCCACTGCTTCAGGAGCAGGCGCTGGTGGAGGTTGAGGAACCGGTGGAGGAACCGGTGGAGGAACCGGTGGGATACCTGATCCCTTGGAATCGACCTTTTTCCCTTTCTTGTCTTTCTTTGACTTTTTCGTACCGGAAGTCCAATCATCGTTTTCAACGACAGTGTTCGAAGTGGTCGTATTTGTATCAGCCGCTGTCGTTGATTCGGGTGGGTAGTTCGGTTCCGCAGTCACAGCTTTGGCTCCTTTCTTGTCCTTCTTGTTGCCAGTGGTCCATGCAGAATTCATCCAGTCATCATCACTAGTAGCTGGAATATCACCGGTCGCAGCATCTTCGGTTGTCATGAGAGGGTCATCTTCAACCTCGTCAATTAAGCCCTTGTTTTTGTTCTTCTTGTCCTTTGTGGAAGATGGTTGTGCCCAACCAAAGGAAAATTGAGGCTCTGCGGCAGGCAGATTTCCCGTCTTCTCGGGTATGGACTCTTCGACTGCTCCCTTGCCACCCTTCTTCTTACCTTTTTTGCCAAACCCAGAAGACGTCCATTCCTCGCCCCCTTCCTGTGCAGGTTCAGGTGGGGCAGAGGGAAAGGCATTAACAATATCTTCTGCTGTATCTTTTTTGTTCTTCTTCTTGTCTTTCTTGCCTGTGGCCCATCCGCCCCAAGAGTTATCAGCTTCCTTGTCTTTTTCTGGTTCTGGAAGAGCTGCGACTGCCTCTTCGTTCTTTTCCTCGCCTGTGTCCTTGCCCTTCTTCTTCTTATCCTTCTTGGTAACAGGTGCGAAGCCCCAGCTGTCCTCTTCGGCAGGTTTGACGTCGGTGGGGCCGTTCATTCCCAGGTCGATATCAGTGGCTTCCTGGGTAGCTCCAAAATTACCAAAGTCAAAACCGCTGCTCATGTTGCTTTTCTTCTTGTTCTTGCTCTTGTTGCCCCAGGACCAAGGATTGGTGTCTCCAGGTTCGGTAGCCGAGTCTTTAATACCTTTCTCTGCTTCGGCTTTCACTACTTTGTCGTCCTTCTTCTCACCAACAGTGCCAGTGCCAACAGATCCAAAATCCCAAGTGTTGCCCCATGCCCCGAACCCACCAATGCCGGTGCTCGTCTTCGTGTCTGTCTCACCGAAGCTGAAATCCAGGTTCGGAGCGCTGTCGTCGAGACTGATTTCATGAAAAGCTGCAGTCGGAGGGGCTGGCGCAACGGGGGCAACTTCTTCGACGCCCTATACACGTAAGACGTTAGCTTTTCCACCAAATTCGTAAAGGCATCAAGACTGACCTTTTTGCCTTTTTTCTTCTTCTCCTTTTTGCCCGTCAAGCCTGCCCATTCTTCGTCCCCGTTCGCGTCATTTGGCTCATTGGCCCAGCTAAGAGTATTAGTTTCCGCTGCCTGTTCCTCTTCTTTCTTCTTTGCCTCCTCTTCTTCCTGTGCCTTTTTCTTCTCCTCTTCTTCCTGTGCCTTCCTCTTCTCCTCTTCCTGTTTGGCCTTCTTCTTGTTCTTCTTGTTCCCTTTGCCGCCAGTATCCCAATCGTCACCATCATCTCCCCCTCCACCACCATCGCCATTTCCGCCAGCGCCGCCAATTGCGCCGCCACCTGCGCCATCGCCTCCCCCACCACTTCCTCCATCATTTTCTCCTTCCCCATTTTTCGCACCGTCTTCATTGTCCGACCCCGCCCATCTGGCCTGCGCCGCCTTCTTCGCCTTTTTAGCTTTACCGCCACGTGTTTGTATGCCTGTCGCATCTCCAAGATTGAGTGGATCTCCCATTGAAGGATCACTCAACAAGCCGTCTTTCCCCACTTCGATTTCCCTAATGTCCGATGTGGGAGGGGCAGACTTTGCTGTCTCAACTCTCGCGTGGGCTAAGCACTCTGTATCAGCATAGAGTTGTGGTACAGTGGCATAGTACTCTTCTGAGGACGAATCATCTATCCGCCGCTTTGGGGGGCTTGGTATAGATAAAAGAAGCTCTGCGACCAGCGCATAAGCTTTCAAGTATGATGGTGAGGTAAACAATGTTAACTGCTAAATGTCAGAATCCATGCTTCGGTTGGTTCTGTTTGGACTTAGATAAAGGGTCTAGTGGGAGAAAGAAAGACAAGGGAAGTACTGAAGTTTCGAAAGACATCTAGAACGTCAATGCATACCCGCGAGGCTGGCGTTGACGGGCAGCACGCAATGTTGGCGCTATCACACCGCCTTGTAATCCCAGTACATATATCCGCCGCATCCTCTTCGATTCGACATTGGACATCATCCAAACCAGTCCTCGACGATGTCCGGATCCTTTGTGGATGATACGGGACATCTCGAATATCCGCGACGGTAGAAACGACGCAAGCGGTGGCCATGGTGTAGCTGGGCAGAACACGAGCGAGATATCGACAGTGCGGTCATTGGTCAAAGCAGAAAAGAGCGCGATCGAACAAGGCGGCTCAAAAAGACAGGAGCAGATGCAAAAAGCCTCCAAATTGTGTGTATGAATGTCGACCTTGTGATTGAGTCGTGGTGGTGTGGTGGTGAGGTCGATCAGGGAGGTCACAAGGTGCTTGGGATGGAAGATCCTCGGTATTGGGTCGAGTTGTGACCAGTTTTCGACCCTGCATCACAAAAGGCTAGTTGTGTGTATCGGCGTGGCCACTATCGCGAGCCCCAATCGGTAGCTAGATCCTCTGTCTCCCTCTAAACAATTCACCACAGTTAATGTGCGTTGTGGTGACAAAAATCAGATCTTCATCTTGAGCATGGTCAGTCGCCAGGACTTGAAAATTTCCTTCGGGGAACTGCAGTCTCTTCTGCCAGCAAGAATTCCGGAACAATGCAGCAATTGGTCGGGACCTGTAAAGCGTGGAGATGGCAAGCTCCAATGGAGCGCCAGGATCTTGACCGCAAAATGCTTGCTGGCGCTACTGAGCAAATCAGCGCAAAGTGGTCCATTTTTCTTGCATTGGCCTTGTCCTTGAAGCCCGCCTGGCTGCATAGACTCCTCAGGCTTTTGCTGGCCGGCCCCCCGGGCCGAGATGTACAGTCGAAGCAAGTCCAGGCCTTTGCCTGTCTGCATATTGTTCATGTCGAAACGAATGAAACGAATGAACCTCAACTCACGATATTTGCTGATATATCGTCAACAACACATCATGCTCTGGACACTGTAGATGCATTGCAAGGTTGGTGGACCATACCGCGGACGTCGAATCATTCGTTAATTCGTTGTCGTTGCATGATAATAATACATACCATGTGAAAGTCTATGAGAGTTTCTTAGGGTAACAACGGACACAAAAGACCACCTGTCGTTGTTACATCCATCCACTAGACCACATACTTTGGTACTCACTATCTCGTCATGAAATGGTAACATGGAGTCATACATATTATTCATACCATACCACGCAAAACTCTACTGCCAGAAACATTCTTCGCCTCAGGTCCCCCTATCAACTTGCACGTGGATCTAAGAAGACTGAAGGCAACGGCCAAGCTTCGAAGACTGGGATCTGGACAGATGTGTTAGGAAATGGCCCTGAGGGGCAACGTTTGATGTATGTTCGCTCATAAAGGACCAACCCATACTGGCAAAGACTCCATCCTTTTGCAGACTCAGAAACGCCTGAAAACTCGTCCAAAAAACCAGAGAAGAATTATGTTGAACGTGGCGAAACTGGACGCGTTATCAGGTTGATCGAGAGCCCACCTGGACTTGAGCCCTACGAGCCCCATGAGCCCCCAAAATATTAGCAGACGGAGAAAGTTATCGTGAAAATCTTCGACAATTTTCGCAATGCCATTAATGGACCATAGTGGATGCCAGCGTATCATACATGGCGAGTCACTACGCTCCGGAAGGGGGTTGGCAAGGGCCTGGCAAAAAGGCTGCACCCTACTCCACTCAATAGTTATCTAGACACATCAACGACTGTTGTAGAAGGAGGGACAAAGAAAAGACCGGCCAACTTAGCAAAATGGGAAGAGGAGGTGTCTTGATGCTGATGTTTAGAGGAATAGTATAAGGTTTTTTGTTCAACTATGGTGTTCTTTGACTGTATTTCAACTACAAATTGCACCTTCCTTCACCTTACATTCTAAAGGGATTTGATGGGAATTGTTATGATAGGACAAGCACAATACTCACATGTTGCACCCAGTACCAAGACGTCTGTCATGGGGCAAGCAGCTGAAGCGTTTTTGGGAAGCTCAACCACAGGCAGCCTCTAGCAGTACCCACCGTTTTTATTGAGCTTAAGGACCTTGTAGTCTGGAATGTATTGTGTAGGCTTATGAAAGTTCGTTTCAACCCTGCAACGATGCGACTTTCTAGATCGGATTGGCCTACCAGGCTCACAAAAGGTGTAAATGACTGTACAATCCATTCAGTAGATAAAACTGTGGCTGCTCTTCAAGGAGCCTAGATCGTCGATCAATCGTCATCTGAGCTGTAAGCACCTAGTCCTAGGGTAGCTGGAGTAATTGGTGCTGGGGTGATTGACGTCCTTGAGGGATTGACGTCTGCCGGCTCCGACTTCGCTGAGCCAGTGCCATGTTTGATGTTGTCGCTTGAAGTAATTTCAATGGCCCCTCCACCAGTAGCTGTGGTATGCAGCCCTTCCGAGCCGACCAGCCTGGTCCGAGGACTCTCTGTAGTGTAGGACTTCTTTCGAAGCTTGCCGCTTCCTTCATCATCTTTTTGTTTTACACGACGCCTCTTGCGCGAGGAAGCGGACCACGACTCCTCTGTGGCCAGTGGCTTGTCTCTGGTGTCACTCTTCTCGATGGCAGCATTTCCTCCAAAAAGTACATCCTCGGCAGCTTCTCGTTGTTTGCGAAAGGTATCAAGCTGTTCGGCGGTCTCCTTCTTCACCTGAGCCTCCTTAGCTCTTGTGCTCTCCAGAACGCTATCCAGAAAGTCGGCTTCATCATCATCAAGAGACCTAAATTGATTTTTCAAGCGATTCTTTTCTTCAAATTCTTCTTGTTTAGCAGCTGACAAGAACAATCCCTAATATGTTAGCTTGCTAGCCCTCCAGCCATCGCCTCATGAATTGTCTCGTATACTCACTTTTGTTCTGCTGAAGGACCTCGTAGAGACTCTTGCCGCCCTCCTGGGTGTTGGCTTCTTGTCTCGGCCTACGAGTCTCTTCTATGGCTAGCCGTGCCTTATGCCAGTCATCATCATTACGAGGTTGGGTCCCCTCTGAGCCTGCCGACACGAAGCCGGACGACATGTTGATCGCGCCGTCGACAGTGCGAAATCTGACCTTATCGACAACAGCTTAGGGCTGAATGGTTGATTGTGACACCGTCACCAAGCAACGCTTGACTTTAGAAACAGCTCAAGGCTATGCCAAATCGCGCCAGGATGAGTTGATGTTGTCTGACAAACAAGCACCTCACTCATCCAATCCGAAATCCCGGCTAAAAAAACGAATGGGATTCAAATTCAGTTCCTTTTTAGTTTAGTGCCTCACGCCAAAATAATGATATTCCAGCAGCATGACCATATTTGATAGAACATCAATTTATTCTTTCCAGAAGTAATGTCGCCACTTCAACAGCGCTATCCTGCTTGCGTACTGCGCGATTCAAGATTCGTTCTCGTGGGCAAACCCCAATAAAGGGAAAGGAATGGAAGACGAATGATGCTTTCGATCAGTTCAGAGCTCCTGTTGCAGTTTGTCGAAAATCACGATGCAGTAATCCGCGTCCAAGCACTAAGACACCTGTCTACTGCCTCAACTAGTATGGGTCGAGCATGATCTTTGTGCTTTTCCTTCGAAAGCTATTACTATAAAATTATAGAGACTTAAGCATCAAGTTGTCGTAATACAAGTAGTAGCACTGGGTTGTTTACATGGGACTAAGCCACCACTTAGCTGCACAGAGTTAAAGCTACAGCGGGGAACTGCGCCACTGCGGAGCGGCGGCTGCAGGACAAACTCGCCACTCTACGAATACTACGTCCACCGTCCACCCGTATCGACACTCTTATCCACAATTATTTACTCTGCATCTCCTTCTAGGCCTGGTAACCAACATTATGGCGAATTTAGGTGGAGGTCACTTGGTCGGCAAGGCCTTGAAGGTGATCAGGTAAGCTCTTCCGACCCTCATGAATTCGTTATTGGCTCTAAGTAACATGTAGATTTGCCGTCGAGAAGACTGGAAGGGTCTTACATGATAGACTTCCACAAGTTGCACGGGCAGCTGAAGTAGAAGCGCAACCAGTCTATGCACGCAATACCGCACCGCATCACCCAATCAGTCGTGTCGCCGCTATCCGACAGAGCCAGAGCCAGTATCGGAGCCGGTGGTATTCAACACAACGGGCTGTCAAGTCATCCTTTCGGCCATTCTCCTCATCGACACGATCAACCACTAGATATGATCGCACAGCTCTACCTACCTCTCAAACCAGCCAAGCCGTCAGTCGCCTGACCTCCCGTGCACCTTTTGCTTCGTCTCTCCGTCCTAACCTGACTGGTGGAACGCTTTGTCGTTCAGCAGGCGGCTACAGCACGGGGGCTGGTCGTATTGGTGGTGCAAGATACTTTTCCCATACACCTGCTGCTCCAGCGCAAGTCGTCAATAACGTGTCACAAGCTGTGCGAGCCTTTTGGTTGTCTGGCCAAAAGGCTCAATTCGATGGAATGAGCCCAAGGAACGAAAAGCGCTTCAGGACAATCAGTCCACTTCAAGAAAAAGCAGGCCGGAAGATGCGCTGTCTCCCAGCTGCAGCTCCAGGATCTTATGTGGATTTCAAAGTTGCACCGACCATTACAGCGATCGGTCCTCTCAGCAAGAATCCTGCTGCCGGCTCTGCGCAAGATCAGGAGTCTCTTAACAATTCATATGTCATGGATATGCTTTCCATTGACTTTGGTCGAGCTCTCAAAGACCTGGCAATTGTCATGAATGATCTGCAGAAGCTCTCAAACCTCGGGGACCTTCCGATATACCTGCCAAACAGCTCAACTCTTCGTGTCCGATTTCCCGGTTGTGATGCTGAGACAGTGGATCGACTATGCGAGGAGCTTAGCATTCGTCGAGGCTTGGTATATCAGGATGAGAACTTCGATGCGAGCAATGGTACAGAGATGGCCTTACTGTTCCCTTTTGCACCCAGTCATACACCGTCGGACAACACGTTTTCGCCAAAGGTTGAAGTACGCCAATGTTGGAAGCATGACTCCGTTGATTGGCAAGATATGCAATCTCCTCGACAGCAGTTGTCCCCGAAGCATTCTATACTCTCTGCCACAAGCCATGATTTTGAAGAAGTCCAGGCTGTTGGGGAGAACCCGTGGCTAATGTCGCCTTCGGGTTATTCAAGCTTGAATGGAAGTGGTGAAGGCGATGCAACTATTTACTCCGACCATGCCGCTCAAGACCATATAACAAGGCCATCAGGATATGAAGGGCTTGAAGGTATCTATAGGTTCTTGGAGGAATGTGATCGTGCAAGGCGATGAAGTATTGTTACCCTTCAACCTCATCGAGGGTTATGACAGCATGGCTTGGGATTGGGGAGTAGGCAGGAGCGGGTTGTGCAATATGATACTATAGCCACATCTAGCCTAAGAATGATCTCTGTATTTTGTCTTCTAGTTTCTCCGACTACTAGTATTAAAACATCGTGATAACCCAGCTCTCGTACGAAATAAAGGTACCGCTGCCAACCCTTGCCCCTCGGGTTCCTGCAGCTGATTAGATCCCGTCTCCACATTGTCTCCAAATCTCATCAATTGGAACACGACCATTGACACCAGAATCAGAACTGAGACCCAAGATCTACAAAACCATGTTTTCAGTCCCATGAGACTAAGACTTTGTCCTCCCGTCTTCACGGTCAGAGCCGTCGCGCCATATCTCTCCCCAGCCGCACATCTACCGCCACGGCATCTCACCTCAATGGCTCCACCAAGTGACTCAAGCCACCCACATCCTCCGCAGCCGCAGCTAACAGAACCATTCACAGCGCCCCCCCCACCGTCCTCAGACACCCCCAAACCCCCACACTCCAGC